CGGGCTGTTGAAAATGGTCTTTTAAAGCATTTTTGAAAAAAAAAAAAAAAAAAAAATTAGTCCACCTACTTTGAATATCAAACAGAGGAAATATTTAAGGTTTCTGAAAAAAAAAACACGAAATAATTAAAAAAACGATTTCCCTCGATTTATTATTATTTATTAATTATTATTGATAAACGGTGCTGCATCTGTTCTACAGACACATTTGTCTGTATCTTGTTATATTTTTTTAAGTACTGAATGTGTGGAGATATTTACCTTTGGTCAATTTAACCCAGTAGGTGGCAGTAATGCAACTTAATGTCTACCTGTTTGCATCAAAATGTAATAAAAGAGCAGTTATTATCCATCAATGATAACAGGAGTTGAACAGACGGTGGTTGGAGGTGTACAGCTCCACGGTGTGAGCAGCTCTGAGTGTCAGTCAGCTGTGAGTCTGACCTGGTCAATGACAGTGGTTTAGTTGAAGAACCAACCCAGGGTGGAGGACACTGACCAGCAGCAGCTGATGATGACGACCTGAGGGTCGTCGGAAATGAGCGTCTCTTAAACACAGACATGACGTGGAGGTGGCCAAACCATAGGGGCGGGGAAGAGTCGGCAGTCAGACGGGCTGCACCTGGAACACAGTCAAGTGCACGTCGACATCCAAGGCTGAGGAAGCTTCTAGAAACCTGACTCCTCTCTCTTTACATGTGCAGGTTATTCCCAGGAGGAGGGGGGGTTGGGGGGGGGGCAGCAGGAAGCCCGGTCTCCTCTGTAGTACGGGGGGGGGTCAGAGCAGCCCCCAGCTCAGCTGTCCACCTGAGGAGGAGACCACAGGATTATTTTCTACACTGATCCTGGATCAGTTTCAGTGCAGTTTGAACCACACACACACACACACACCTCCTGCAGGTGACGACGAACACACACATCTGTGGGTCAGAGCTGCTCTGGTACAGGTGGGCAGCAGGGGTCACTAGAAGTAAAAAAATATAAATATATATAATGTAACAATGTAATACAGATTTATGTCCACAGTTTGAGTTTGTTTGAAAAATGTAAAAAAAAACAACAAATACCTGTGAACAACTGTGTTTCCATTACTGGGATCTTCATTATAAATGGAGGAAATGACCCAGAAAAACATGCACCACATACAGTCCTAGTCATTTATTCTGGGATGACATGACCTGAGATGTTGTCACTGTTTGTTTGAACAAATCTTAAATTTAGAGTCATCATTATCACAGTCATCACAGTTTTAACCTGACACACACACACACACACATATATATATACAACATACACATGAAAATATATGATACATTTATATATAAATATATATATAATATAAATATGTCTAGAGTTATTTTGATGTTTTGTCTGGAACAGAAAAACAGAAAAACAAAAACACAATTTTTCACAGGTGAAATTTTTTCTTCTTCTTCTTTTTTAATAAAACATTTGTTGTTACTTATTAAAAAAAGCCAGTGTAAAGGCCGTTCACCAACATACAGCCCTAGTGTTACTGCTGTTTCCATTTAATAATAAGCTTCAACATAACGTACTGTATACAGCGTGTACTACACACACGTTATACTTCAAATATATTTGAAATACTTTGTTAGTATTTATCATACTACTAATTCAAGGTATTTTAAAATTAGAAATGAATCAGCACATTATCTGTATATATATATATATTTTACTTTTATCGTCAATTATTTATTTATTTATTGACGATAAATTTGTGCGCGTGCGCGGAACACAACGACTACAGGACGCACGTGCCCCATCTGCTCCACTGAAGAAACAATTTAGGACATCACCGGCACGAGCCCGCCGGCTCTATTGTCTCGCGGTCAGAGGGTGTGTGTGTGTGTGTGTGTGTGTCTGCAATTGTGTGTGAAAAGGATCGAGAGAGAGAGAGAGAGAGAGAGAGAGAGAGAGGGGACACAGGTATCGTAAAATAACGGATTCAAAGAAACAAATAAAAATAAATCAGTTATTTTCAGCCAATAAATAAATAAAATAAACGAAACTTCAGATTTTACCATGTGTAAAAATGATTAAATGCCAGGTTTGATTTATTTGTTTGTTTTGAAAATTATCGCATAAAATTGAGCAAAATCTTAATTTAACGAATCTCGACAGAAAAAAAGACATAAAATAAATACATTTAAAAATACATAAATACATAAATAGAGCTAACCAGGTTATGGTTAGAGATGATAATAAAACAAACCAGGTCGTCTTTTCTGAGCCGCCTTCAAACTCAGTGAAACTCTCAGTCAAATTAAACTGTACTAACATTAGACCACGTGACCGCGGTGACCTGACAGGGTCACGGGCGGGAAGAGTGAGCCCGAGACACCTCCACGTCACAGCTGTCAATAAATGGAACGTGGCCCCGGGTGAGTGATAACCGGAGTGGAACGCAGCCCAAGAACCCGCGGTAAATCGTCCTAAATGAAACAATCATCGTCCAAGTGTTCGCTGCATTAGTGAGGTTTAATCTGCGCTCGACGGTGGATTTATAAAAACAGATGTAGCCCACAATATGGTGCACACCAGGCTCCACGCCACGGCCCACGATAATCCTTACTTAACGCTGCGCGTCTTTTGACGGAGTGACGAGTGGAGAGATTTACTGCAGGGCAACACACAATTAACACGTGTCTTAAATAAACAGGGCTGCCTGCGTGCGTGGGGGTGTGTATTTGAAAAACAATGATGACTTTTAATACGCTAGGGCCGTGCACGCGCGTGCGTGTACCTGCAGTGTGCGGAGACGGAGTCCGGGCCGTGAACGTCTGTTGTTTTTACCGTTATATTAATGACAACACAGCAGTGACGTCACCTTCATCTGATGACGGGTTTTCAGCAGTCACGGTGTTTCACTGGTTGTTTATTATTGTTATTGTTGTCATTTGACGCCGGTCTGTGGGACAGTCTGTAGACCGGCGGCGGCTCGGTGAATGACTGATGTTCTCCGTGGCCGTGGAGCCCGGGGCCACGTGGACCAATTAGCGGAGCTCGTCATATTTTATCAAACACAGGGACGTGAGTGAAAGCGACTTGAAGAAAGAACCATTTGTCTGATGGACACGTGACCGTCGACCTGGATCGGCCGTAAATACAGGTCTAATCCTCCAGAATTAAATGCACTTTTCTTATGAATTTTGCATAATAATTATTTTTTATCATAATGTAATGGTGGGGAAAAAAGGACAAAATTAATTTGTTCTTCAATCTCAGTAATGACTTCAAATCAGATTTGGGTTAAAAGTCCGTGGTTTGAACTGGATGAAGTAAAAAAAACACACAGCAAAACATTTCTATAAAAAAACAAAATGGAACTAAAATTTAGAATCTAAAAATTAGAAAAAGAAAAACAACTAAAAAATTATTTTTTTAAATCTAATATTAATTCCATGTCAGGATCAGATGTAGTTGTTTTTGTTATATCAGATGTTTCTTCTTTTTCTCTGACCTCATTCTAAGTGACCTTTCATCTGTGTTGATCCTGTTCTTGGTAAAATGTTCATCTGTTAAATATGAAATGTTTTGATCACAGACTTGAAAAAATATCATTTTAATTTCAATCCACGATTTAATCCTGACTATAAATATTATGACGACAACATTAGTATAAATGTAGTTCAGAGGACAGCGCCCCCCCCCCCCCCGCCCCAGAGGACGACAGTGTTAAAAGACTGGGGGTCTGAGGACGACCCCTCCCTGACGTATGGAGGACCAGCAGCAGGTCTGGACTCTGTGACCAGGACCAGGACGGAGTGAGACGTGCAGGGAGACGCAGCGTTACTTACTGACTGATGCAGTTTTGTAATTAAAGGTTTGTTTGACTTTTAACGACCCCTAAACACAAGCAAAGTCGTGGAAGTTATTATAACAAGTGGAATGACTAATGAGACGTGGACGGTGAACGAGCTGAAGACAATTAGCTCTGAGCAGACAGACTGCTGGGCGCTACTGTGCTCTTTAAAGACAGGGAGGGAGACGGGGGGGGGAGGGGGGGCAGGAAACTCACTGAGAGAGAGAGAGAGAGAGAGAGTGCGACGTCCATTCATGGACAGATTTCCTTGTGATTATCAAGTAAAGAAAACACGACCGTACGTGTCAGAAACCTCAGAGTTTCTCTGTGAGAATTTAACGTCACAATAGAAACAAACATCAAAACAAACAAACATCAAATAGAGAGGGAAACTAAAATGAAGTCAGCTGCTGTTCCTACAGTCTGAGGCTAATGTTCACTTCAGTCGTTTTTTTATTAAAAAATAACACTATAGGTCTTAACTGCACTTGAACAACTGGCCAGCAGGGGGCGATCCCCATAAAAACCTCAGCTCAACTAAAATACATTTTTCAAAAATTGACATTTTTTGTAAAAAAAAAAATCGTTTGTCAGCATTAACTTCCCACCAAGGATTTTAGTGTCAACTGTTCGGGCAGTTGTTGATGATGTCATCAGAGACATTCCTTTGTTTCTGGAATGACTTTTTGATCAGGTTTGTTACGCTGCGTTTCCAGATGATTCCAGATTAGACAGATCACATGGACGGTCAGTTGATCTTTACAATACTATTATTATTCTGATTGATTACCAGACATTTCAGACGTCCCCACATTGGGTCACAACCCCTAGGTTGAAAAACACTGGGTTAGGATTTGGTTGAGATATTAAAGGCTGCGGAGGTCGTGACCCTGCTCTTCCTCACTGTTGTTCCTTTGACCGACATCACGTTCCTCGTTCCTGAAGAGGAACCAGTGGGTTCTACTGACGCAGCATCAGCTCAGCTGATTCA